GTGGGCGCCCAGTGACGCCGATGTGACAGAGTAGACACATCTACCAGAAACAGACTGTCCGGTCTCTTCTGCTATGGAGCCCCCGTGGGTCCACACAGGCACCTTACTTTGTACACTGAGAGGGTCTCACTGACATAGCTCAGAAAATGGCATTACCAAATGGGATAGCATTCACGTGTATAGGGCTTAGAATTATAGAACCTCTTTTATCGGCGGACACAATTTGGCCCATACCGCTAGACAAACCATCATCATAAATGTGTTTGTATAGTTATCAGTGTTGTTTGATTTTTTAAAAAATAGCCAATCATGTATACACCTGTTAATAGGAGAGCGAGTAGCTAAAGGGCACTTGGATGGTCAATGGATTCCATGATGTAATTAGCTAAGAAGTGGCTACTTTTTGGGCGGCTGCTTTGGGGAGATCTTTAACTTGCTCTGTCTTCCCAGCTCATGGTTCGCAGAGCACTTTACAGCATGACCGTTTGTTTGTGTCTGGATATGCTTGTATAGATGAACTTATCCGACTCTATAAGCTTAAACAACTCCTGGAAGATTACACTAGCAATATCTTTTTTTAAAATATCTCTCAAGAATAAAATGAAGATCAGGAAGGGATGTCTTATGTCTCACTTCACCCACTTGGTTCAGCTTAACTCTTCTTCTTGTCATTACTTTTGTTAGTACAAAAGGACTCTATGCTCATAATAAAAATTCAAATATCTTATGTGGCTAAAATGTTAAGGCTTCATAGGAATGGATGGCGCTAGCACATCTCTAGAGTGTTTCAGCAGGGCTAGCTCTATCCAGGCACTGGTATTATGGACTTTTTTATTATGCAAAATAGATGGCAGGGATGGGGAGCAAACAGAATAAAACTAAAAGGTGGCTTTCAGATGGCACCAAAATCCAGAATTAGTGGGGTGAGGAGTTAAATAAAGTTGTGGTGATGCGTTTTTGTTTTCTTTTTCCACCTTGTAAAATGCTAGCATGAAGTCCATTTCCTAGTCTTGGGCAGTCATTTTCACAGTTGGTTAGAGAACCAAGGTTGCATTTCACCAACGAAGGATACTGGTCCTTGGAAAGTTGCTGCAAGGTTACTGACTCGTGTAAATTGTTCCCTGTGCCTTGTCCATGTGGGCATGGATCGTCGCAAGTACAGAAACACTCAGGTTGCCAGCTAGGACATCCATTTCACCAGGAAATGGGACAACTAATAATGGCCAAGTTGGCACTGCCAGTTTTCCTATGATACATGCTTAGAGATGAGCATAAATATGGGACTATGCATCCATGTGCAACTGCCAAGCTAATACGAGTCATGGGTGCTTACATCCTCCAAAATTCCATTCACACAGTATCTTATTCCCAGATCCTTGAGCTCACGCATTAGCACTAAAGAGCTCACAGCGTACACACACTCTTGCGTTTATTTAATTAACTCACTTTAAATGGCTCGGGCTTTGAGCTGTGATTTAGACAGACAAACAAGAGTCAATAAGATCCAGCTTTTCAAAAAATTTTAGTCCACGTTTGTTCCACGTTTTCTCGCAATATCCATTCTACAGACACACATACACTTAAACATACCTATTTTAGTTAAAGCAATGACATGTAGGTTTCCTTTTATTTTAATCTGCAGCTTAAGTGGATTGTGTACATATATGACACACACAGAGAAACAGCAGGCAAACCATCACATCTTTGATTCATGCATGAGGAGACCAGCAATTTGCCCTCAGTTCGAATGCAGGGGCCAATAACAAGTGTCGCATCCAGTAAATATGCTCAAGAATTTCCAATAACGTGTCCTCTGAGTGACTATAATCGAGGCTGCTCTCTTCAGCTCACCTCCCAATGTCGAGAAGAAGCACAAGAAAGAATCACATCCTGGTCACAGTTGTAAACCAGGGGACACCCACATTTCAGCACACAGGTGTCCAGAATGCCGGGGCCAGTCGCTGGTCCTCACAGAACAAAAGCTTTCCAGAGCTCAACTTCCCCCAGGCATGGGGACTTCAAGTGCGACACACATCGATCAGACAATTTATCTAGGTGCATGTGGGATAAGACCAAAACTGCATTTTGAAGAACACATTCAGGTAAACACTCGCAGCTCGCCGCCTGGGGATGAGCCAACCACCAAAGTCAGAGACTTATTTTCTGTGTCTAAGGCCTCCGTGTCTTAGCTGCAACATTCCTGCACACCTTCAACTCAGGGAAAAATCCCTCGTTCAAAGCTAAAAATCTCATTTTCACAGGTATCTTGTCAGGTATATGAGCTAGAATATGAACAATGAGTTCCAGATATTTAAATGTCCTTATGAACAAGGAAGAAAGGCTGGAGAAACAAGAAGAGGATATAGGAATCAGGGGAAAATGAGAGGTGTGTGTGTGTGTGTGTGTGTGTGTACACCATAGTCTTGGAATTCATGGAACAACTGGTGTGTGTGTGTGTGTGAACACCATAGTCTTGGAATTCATGGAACAACTGGCCAGGCTAGAGGGAGAGAGAGAGAGAGAGGTTGATTGATTATGATACTGAGACAATCCCATTTTTTTAAAACATGGGTCAAGCATTATGCTCAGATTCTTTATTTCAATTGGTAGGTGCTGTGTTTGTCTGGTTTGTTTTGACAGGGTAACATCTCAAATGAAATCCCTTTATTGAATTTTCACCCTTGGATAGTTTCTGTAGATGCTGCTTTTGCAGAAAGTAAAATAAAACAAATAAAATGAGAACAGATATATATCATGCCCGGGAAAGCTGAAACCTGAACCGGAGGTAACAGTTTGGTGTTATCAACCTCCAGATCTTCAGGGATCACAGAACGATGCTGGTGTAAGAACAGGTGCATACTGGGGTGACTGATGGCCTTAGGGGTTTCAGGACCTGGGGATATATGCATCTGATGTCACAAGCCAGTACATACCATTATCCCCTAAAACCCAAAGATGGATAATGGATCCAATCTAGGATGCTGCCATTTATCCCCAGAGGTTTCTAAACAAGAAGTTTAGTCATGGGAGACGGACGCTCCAGCTCTGATTAGTTTTCCCTTGCTATCAAAGCTCGTTGCAGTGGTCAGCAGCTTTTCCAGGACCGCAGTCTCAGCTCCTGTTGAAGCAGAATCCCCATTTTAACATTGTTGGGTGGGTTATACACCCATCAAAGCGAGGCGTATTAAATGCACATCACAGCTTGAGGTCACTGCTCTGGAATGTCCGGGTCACCTGATAAGTGAGGTTAGGTAGCCAGTTGGTGACTGATGGTGGGTCAAATATGGATATATCTTCATTCACTCAGTAAATAGGTATTAAGTGCTACCTGCACATGGAAAAGGGGACTTGTGCTAGAGATATATGAAGTTATACAAAGTTAGGACCAGGTTAGGCATGGTCCCTATTCTCAGGGAATGTACAGGCTGCTCTGGAGGGAAGGTTACAGCCAAATACTTATGCAAATTGACTGTATAATTCTAAACGGAATGGAGTCCAAGAAAGTTCCAAAAGAGCAGCGTTCAAGGAGAACCAACGAAACCAAACAAATTTGAATTAGGAGTTGTTGTTTTTCCTTTTCTTTTTTTCAGAAAGGGCTTCCCTAAGAGACTGAAGCTTAACCTGAGGTCTGAGGCAACTACAGTGATTAATTACACTAATTTGGCCAGGGGAGTGGAGAGTAGAGGATATTTCAGGCAGAGAAAACAGCAGGCATCCGAGTCTTACAGAAAGGCATAGAACTCTAAGCTCCAAAAGTTGAAAGGCAGCCCACTGGTCTGCCAGCAAGGAGTAAGAAGAGATCATGAGATTAGGCTAAGGAAATGGGTAGGCACCAAATGACCTGGAGGGAGGTATAGGGCAAGGTGAGACTGTTGCCCTTCACGATCAAAACAGTAGAAAGTAAACCTGTTTTAAACACATGACAAGATTAATTTTGCCAGAGGAACAGACTATTCTATGGGCATCCAAGATGCAGGGTGGGGGAGGGTAACTGCCAGAGAGAGCCCACTGAGGAGGGGAGAGAAAGGCAGTGGACCTAGCAGCTTTTGCTGGGTCGGCCAAGTGGGGCAGCCATGCCTGCGATTACAGAGGAAGAAGGCGGCGATGGCCAACCTGAACTCTGATCTGTCTGTCACCGACTCTCCCAAAGAATGTAGTCAATCCCCAAAAGTTGATCAGATGTAGATTTGAATTCTGGATCTAAGACTTACTTTCCTCTCTACTATGCATTTGAATCACAATCTCCATGAAGACCACCCTTTCATGGTGGCCCACCCAAAGGTGTCAAGAACTACAGAAGACCAAGAGTCAAATGCATGACTCAACTAACTTTCCCCCCCCTGCCACTTTCAGTGGAAGACACACAAAAAGATTTCCATTTCCTCCTGTTTTTTTTTTTTTTTTGCTTTTTTAACCCCTGCCTTCAGAGTGAATCCTCAACTAGAAGAGGGAGGCCGTGCCTGCATGGTATCTGATCATGTAAGGGGAACGAAAACCAAACAGAAACAAAACCCCAGCCATATGAACAACTACAAAACAATGCTTTAAGAACCAGGGATTTGAGGAGTCTCTCTTTATCTGGAATAAGAATACCATACCTTAATTGCAGGAGAGGGCTGGGCTAAGGAATGTCATCATTATCAAAACACACCTGGTCAAGGTTGACTCTTTGCAACACTAATGTTTTATCAAGTCTCTGGAAAGGCTGAACTGCTGAACACTGAAACAGCCTTCCTCCAACTCAGCAGCTCATTTGGGGACAGGCACCCTGGGCGACGAAAGGGGTCACTGCTCTGTGTATGCCGAGCTCCACTGAAGACTGAACCGGTAACCCAACTGACAATGATGGAGCCCAAGGATGGTGAGGATTCACTTTGGATGTGCTTTGTTGACATGACATACTGCTGCCATCCTTAAGTTGCCCCACACCCACGCTCACTGAGGACTGGATTGGGAGGCCTCAGATGACGATGAAATCCAGGCACAGTGGAGTTACTTACGGCCGTCCACTGTTCTGGCCTCAAGATGCACCAGGTCTGGTTCCTTGTTCGACCCCATCACCGACCTAAACAAAAGAAAAATGAAAAACCATGAGAAGGAATGTGAACATGAACGTCTCTCTCACATGCATGAAAGAAAAGGAGCTGCGCCCATGGCCCTCTAATGGCCATAGGAGCCAAAGATCACTAAACCTGGAAGATATCAACTGTGTTTATCTATACGGTTTGACAGTAAAAGTTATACTTCACATAAAAATGACAGCCTTGTCATTTTCATGATGTTGACTAGGCGCACGTGGGCAAGAATTCTGTGTGCAGTTAGCTCCAGCTTGCACATAAGTTTGACCCATTCCTTGTGTGCTTTCCTGGAACAACCCCAGACAATGTAATTACCTTTCAAGACTCGTCATGAAGATGCCAAGCTTGTTGCAGTGGCTGGACACTGGAGCAGTTATTTACCTAGCAGATTGATCTCATTAACTCTTCATTAGAAATGTGCACAACTACCCACAACAAACCCATATGAAGCCATGTGATACAAGCGGTACATCACTAACTGTAGTACATGGTCACCATTCCCTGTTTCAGCAAACCACAGAGGGAAAACTGTAGGTATGTCTCCCTTCATGATATGTGCCTTACATATATGTAAATAAAGCTCTATTGAAATGCCTTGGACACACATATTATTTAGTGTCATCTTGCAGTGAGACAGAATAAATAGAAAATAATTATTCTGTTACATATATATCAGGGGCAATCATCTTCTATCTTCAGCATTTTCATACAGGAAGATTAATTAAACTTGGAACAATCTGTACTTTTTTTTTCTTCCGCCAGGATTTTACACAGCTCTCACTTAATTGAATTCATTTCCATAAGAAAAATAATCATTCATTGTGCCTCCAGACTTGTCCCTTTGCCTGACCTCAAACCATCCAACACAGACATCAAACCCATGGTGGAATATATAGATGTTGAAACTATTCGTCACCTTCAGGACGTAGTGTGGTACCCAAGATCTTACATTGGCAGGCACCATCTAGCTTTTCCTGTTACTGCCACACAGCCTATGTCTCAGCTACACTGAAAAACTGTCCCTTCCTCAAAAGTGCCAGTGGTCTCTCATCTCTCTCTCTCTTTTTTAATCATTTTATTGGGGGCTCACACAACTCATCAAAATCCATACACACACCAATTGTATAAAGCACATTTATACATTTGTTACCTTCATCATTCTCAAAACATTTGCTTTCCACCTAAGCCCCTGGCATCATCTCCGCATTTTTCCCCTCCCTACCGGCTGCCCCCTCCCTCATGAACCCTTGAATATTTATAAATTACTATTTTGTCATATCTTACACTGTCTGAAATATCCCTTCACCCACTTTTCTGTTGTCTGTTCCCCAGGGAGGAGGTTATATGTAGACCCTTATACTCGGTTCCCCCTCTCTACCCCACCTTCCCTCCACCCTTCCAGTTTTGCCACTCTCACCACTGGTCCTGAAGGGATCATCCATCCTGGATTCCCTGTGTTTCCAGTTCCTATCTGTACCAGTGTCCATCCTCTGGACTAACCAGATTTGTAAGGTAGAATTGGGATCCTTATAGTGGGAGGGGGAGAGCATTTAAGAACTACAGGAAAGTTGTATGTTTCATTGTTGCTACACTGCCCCGACTAGCTCGTCTCCTCCCCCAAACCCTTCTGTAAGGGGATGTCCAGTTGCCTATAGATGGGCTTTGGGTCCCCACTTCACACTCACCCTCATTCACAATGATATGATTTTTTGTTCTTTGATGCCTGATACCTGATCCCTTTGACACCTCATGATCTCACAGGCTGGTGTGCTTCTTCTATGTGGGTTTTTTTGCTTCTGAGCTAGATGGCCGCTTGTTTACCTTCAAGCCTTTAGGACCCCAGA